CAAATTGACATTTACAGAACACTCTACCCAACAACTGCAGAATACACATTTTTTCTAGTGCACATGGAACATTTACCAAGACAGAATATATTTTGGACCATAAAGCAAGACTCAATAAATTTAAAAGGAATGGGGCCGGCCCAGTGGTGTAGTGGTTAAGTTTGCATGCTCTGCTTTGGTGGCCCAGGGTTCACGAGTTTGGATCCTGGGCATGGATCTACACACTGCTTATCAGCCATGCTGTGGTGGTGTCCCACATACAGAATAAAGGAATATTGGCACAAATGTTAACTCAGGGACAATCTTCCTCACTAATAATAATAATAATAATAGTAAATAAAATAAAATAAAAGGAGTAAAGTGATATAAAGTAAGTTCTCTAACTAAAATGGAATTAAATTAGAGATAAATAATAGAAAAATATCTGGAAAATACTCAAATATTTGGAAACTAAATAAAACACTTCTACATAACCCATAGATCAAAAAAAAAATCAAAAATAAAATTAGCAAGTATTTTAAACTGATTGAAAGTGAAAATATAACATATTAAAATTTGTGGGATGTAGCTAAAGTAGTACATGGGGGATATGTGTAACATTATAAGCCTATATCAGGAAATAAAAAAATCATCAAATCAATGACATTAGCTTTCATCTTAAACAGAAAAAGAAGAGCAAATGAAACCCAGTGTAAACAAAGAAAGGGAATCATAGGAAAAATCAAGGAAATAGAAAACAGTAAAACAAAAAAAGAAAATCAATGAAATTGAAAGCAAGACTGATCAGGGAAAAAAATAAAAGACACAAATTCCAACATCATGAATGAGAGTGGTGATATTACTACAGATTCCACAGCTAGTGAAAGGGTAGGGAACAACTTTATGCCAATAAATTTAACGACTTAGATGAAAGAGATAAATCTCCTGAAAGATACAAGCTATCAAAACTCACTCAAAAGACAGAAATATCCTGAGTAGCACCACAGCTATTAAAGAAATTCATACTTAAAAACCTTCTCACAAAGAGAACTCCAGGCCGAGATAGCTTCACTGATAAATTCTACCAAACATTTAAGGAAGAAATAATAACAATTTTACACAAGCTCTTCCAGAAAATAGGAGAGGAGGTGATACTTCCCAACTCATTTTTGAGGCCAGCATTACTCTGAAACCAAAACCAGACAAAGACATTACAAGAAAAACTACAGATCAATACCTTTCAAGAACATAGATGCAGATATTTAAAAATTTTCAGCAAATCAAACCCAGCAATTTATAAAAAAGGATAATACTCATGACCAAGTGTGACTTAATTTCAAGAATGCAAGGTTAGTTTAACATTTGAAAAATCAATGAATGTAAATAATTATAACAACAGACTTGGGGCCAGCCTGGTGGCGTAGAGGTTAAGTGCACACACTCTGCTGCTAGAGGCCTGGATTCGGATCCCGGCATGCGCTGATGCACTGCTTGTCAGGCCATGTTGTGGCGGTGTCCCATATAAAGGAGAGGAAGATGGGGCATGGATGTTAGCCTAGGGCCAGTCTTTCTCAGCAAAAAGAGGAGGATTGGCATGGATGTTAGCTCAAGGCTGATCTTCCTCACCAAAAAAAAAAAAAAAAAAAACCAAACTAAAAAAACACACCATATGATCATCTCAATATACGTAGAAAAAGCCTTTGAGAAAATTTAATATCCATTCATAACACAAACTCAGTGAACTAGGAATAGAAGGGAGCTCTTTCAATCTGAAAAAGGTCATCTACAAATAACCCTACATCCAATATCACACTTAATGGTCAAAGACTTAATACTTTTCTCTAATATCAGGAATAAGGAAAGTTGTCTGCTCTCATTACTTCTATTAAACATCACACCTGTTGTTCCACCCAGTGCAATAAAGTAAGAAAAAATAATATAAGGCATGTGTATTGGAAAAGCAGCAAAATTGTGTTTCTTCTCAGATGACATGATTGCCTACATAGAAATCCTATGGAGTTTACAATAGGCTACTAGAACAAATAGTGAGCTTAGCAAGGTTTTGTTGTATGTATGTTGTATGTTGTATCTTAGCAAGATACAACATCAGTATACAAAAATAATCAATTTTATGTAGTAGCTACACACAATCAGAAATTTCAATAAAAAATACCACTTACAAAAGCACTAAAAATATGAAATACTTGAGAAAATATGTGCAAGCCCTGTACACTGAAAACTATAAAACATAGCTAAGGGAAATTAAAGACCTAAATAAATGGAGAGCTTTATTGTGTTCGTGGGTTGGAAGATTCAATATTTTTATGATGTCAATTGTCCCCAAATTGATCTACAGATTCACAGCTACCCCAGCCAAAACCCAGCAGCCTTTTTTGTAGAAATTGACAAATTGATATTAAAATTTATATGGAAATGCAGAGGCTAGAATAGCCAAAGCAATTTTGAAGGAGAAGAATGATACTTGAGAACTTATACCACCTGACTTCAAGATTTCATAGGAGCTACAGTATTCAATACAATGTGATATTAGAGTCAAAACAGACAAATAGACCAATGAAATAGAATAGAGTTACAGAGGAATGGCTCTGCCACGGAGCCCTGGCGAACTTGTATGTATCCATGTAGGCCACGCAAATAAAGGTTTGACCCACTGCTGGTCAAAGTCTTGGCAGAACACCCTGTGATCCACCTGGATGGAAGTCTTGTAAAGAGCTGCCATAAGGCCATTGTCCACTCTTCTCTCTGTCTCCTGGGTTCTGCTGAGGTTTGAGACTTCCTGTCTTGCCTCCGTCAGAATAGAGCTGCAGGCTATAAAATCGCTCAGCTGAAGCCTAGATTTGGCTGCTCAGCAACAGAGTATCTTACAACTCACATTGCCATCATCTGGCCCCCTTTGTTTAGGTGTTGTCCTTTGTGGTGTGTGGGACAAGGACCATGAGGAATTGGTAACTTCGGCTATTCTCCTTTTCACCGTTTGTGTGAGTGATAAACTGTCCGAGTCTAAGAGTGGCTCCTTGGGTCTTTGTCAGCTGAATCAGTCAGACCTTGCCCTGTCTTGGGTGTACTTGACAAGAGGGTCCATAAATAAGCCCACACATATGTAGTCAGTTGATTTTTGTCAAAGATGCAAAGGCAATTCAGTGGAGAAAGGAAAGGCTTTCTGACAAATTGTGCTGGAACAACTGGAAATCCACGTGCAAAGGGAAAAAAAAGCTTCAATCCATTCCTCACACCATATCCAGAAATTAACTCAAAATCGGTCATAGACTGAAATGTAAAATATAAAATTATTAAATTTCCAGAGGAAAATATAGGAGGAAATCTTTGTGATCTTGGGTCAGGCAAATATTTTTTTTAGATACAATAACCCAACACAATCCCTAAAAGAAAAAAGTTGATAAGATGGATTCCATCAAAATTTAGAACCTCTGTTCTTTAAAAGACACTTTTAAGAGAAGAAAATATAACCCCGAGACTAGGAAATAATATTTATAAATCATGTCTGACAACGGACTTGTATCCAGAATATATAAAGAAACCTTCCAATTTAAGAAGAAGCCAAACAACCTTCCCCAAAGAAGATGTATGGATGGCAAATAAGTAAAGGAAAAGATGCTCAAATCACTTGTCATTAAGGAAATGCAAGTCAAAACTACAGTGGGATAGTTCTACACACCTATAGAACGTCTACAATTAAAGAGTAACCACACCAAGTATTGGTGAGGATGTGAAGCAACTAGAACACGCATACGCTGCTGGTGGGAATCTAAAATGGTATAACCACTTTGGGAACCAGTTTGGCAGTTTCTTTAAAAGTTATCTTTTAATCATATCATACAACTCAGCCATTCCAATCCTAGGTATTTACCCAGGAGAAACGTAAGCATTGACCACACAGATGCTGGTACACAAAGGTCCCAGCAGCTTTATTTGTAAGAGCCCCAAACTGGAAACAATCCAGTGTCTTTCCCCATCTGAATGAATAAACACGTTGTGGTGCATCCCTATCATGGAATACCACTCAGCAATGAAAAGGCTCGAATCAGGGAAAAACAACAACATGATGCAGCTCAAAGTAATTACATTGCGTGAAAGAAGCCAGACAAAATATAACATTCTAGCAAATTGAGACTAAACTATAGTGACAAAAAGCAGATCAGTGGGAAAATGGGGAAGGGGAAGGGAGAGAGAACAGTGGGGCAGGGAACCTTTTGATGGTGACGGCTGTGTTCACTCTCTTGATTATAGGGATGGTTTCTTGAATGCATACCTATCTCCAAAATTATCAAATTGCACACTTTAAACGTGCAGCTTACTCTATGTCAATTACACCTCAGTAAAGCTGCTTTTAAAAATATGTTGTTAGGGGCCGGCACCGTGGCTTAGCGGTTAAGTGTGCTCCGCTACTGGAGGCCCGGGTTCGGATCCCGGGCACGCACTGATGCACTGCTTGTCTGGCCATGCTGAGGCCGCGTCCCACATACAGCAACTAGAAGGATGTGCAACTATGAGATACAACTATCTACTGGGGCTTTGGGGAGAAAAGGGGGAAAACAAAGGAGGAGGATTGGCAGTGGATGTTAGCTCAGGGCTGGTCTTCCTCAACAAAAAGAGGAGGATTGGCATGGATGTTAGCTCAGGGCTGATCTTCCTCACAAAAAACAAAAAAAATGTTGTTAGAACATTGAATCCTGCAGTCACTCTCAAGACGCTTGGTGGTCCACTGCCCTTCTGAGCCCCCATTCTGAACTCAGGTGACCTGTAGGTGATGCCCCACCTTGGTCCCTGAGAGCGCAGTAGCCCTGCCTGCCCACACTTAACGTGGTGATTTTATTTAATCCTCACCACAGAGATAAAAGGCCAAGAAATTATAACCCAAGGGCAGGGACTGGAACATTTGGACTCAAGAAATGTCCAGATGACACAACGCAAGCTGAAAAACGCAAACATAAATCCTGTGCAATGACACGGTGGCCCCCGCCGCCTCTCCCGGGACTTACTGGACCCCGCGGGGACAGACACTCTGCAAGGACAGCGCGGGGCTGGACGCGGAGCTGCAGGACTTCCAGGACCCCAGCACCTGCGCGGGCGGTGGGCTCGGCGCCCCCGAAAAGGTCGGGCACAGCTCGGCTTCCTTGTGGGACTCCGGAGCCCCGCCCGAGGAGCTAACCATTTATGTCACACTGTGACAATTATTCTGCATAAAATTATCATTAAAAACCCTAATTTTTCTGCCTCCAACCCTGCCAGCGGCCTTTTAGCATTCTCTCGCGCCGGCGTCTGCAGGCCGGTGATCACCCCGCTCATTACCGCGGTGTGGCGCCTCCCCCCTCGCGCTCGCAATCAAGCGCTAATTAAACCCGCCCGGGGGCCGGGGCCGATCCAGGACCCTCCCCGGGCCTGATGGGGCCCGCGGCTGTGCTCTACGGGCCCGGGTCTGGTCCCGAGGTGGGGCCCGGGGGTCCGGGTACCGGGTCGGGGGTCCGGGGTCTGGGTCTGGTGGTGGGGGTCGGGGTAGGGACCAAGGGCGGGTCGGGGTCCAGGGTCTGTGGCCGAGGGCAGGGCGGGGTACCCGGGTGGAGCGAGCGCTGTGGCCATCGCGGGGCTCTGATGGACCGCAAGGGCCGTGGCGGTGGCCGAGGCGGGGTCCCGGGTCTGGGTGTCAGCGTGCAGGGGCGAGGCCGAGGACCCATTGGGTCCGTGGGCGAGGCAGGGGCCACGAGGTCTGGGGGAGTCTGCAGGCGGAAGAGGCGAGGCCGGGTCCTGGAGCGGTGACAGAGACCGGGTCCCGGGTCTGGGTGGGGTCAGGGTGCCGGGGTTGTCCAAGTCCGGAGGCGGAGGCCGAGGCGCGGTCCAGGGTGCGGGGGTGGGGCGGGGGCCAAGAGTCTGGGGCGGAGTCTGGAGGCGGGGGCCAGGGCGGAGGTGGCCGGTCTGGGTCGGTGGCCGAGGCCGGGGCTGTGTCCTTACCCGAGCGAGGCGGCCGTGCGGCAGAGGTGCAGGGGCGCCAGGCCCTCGGCGCTGAGCAGGTCGGGGTCGGCGCGGTGCCGCAGCAGCAGCTGGACGCAGGCCGTGTGGCCCCCCAGGCAGGCCTCGTGCAGGGCGCCGCGGCCGCCGGGGCTGGCGTCGGGGTGGGCGCCGCGGGCGATCAGGTGGCTCACGCAGGCCGTGTGGCCACGGGCCGCGGCGATGCACAGGGGCGTGGTGAGCTCCCGCTTGTACTCCAGGGTCCAAAGGCCTGGGCCGGAGGAGAGGTTAGGTGAGTGGGGGGCACCTATGGGGGGCGGTGTCCATTAAGGCGGAAATAGAGTGAAACCATCTCTTAGAAGTAGGTACCAGGTGGGCTTGCGGGGAGATATACAAAGACGCGGAGGGCTGGGACAGAGAAACCCAGTGGGATCCAGCTAGACGCACGGATGAGAGAGAGAGAGAGCAAGGCCTAGGGAGACAGAGGTGAAAGGACACACGCAGAGAGGGGCAGAGAGATCAAGGGGGAACAGCAGTGCAGGAAGATTCCAGGAGAGTCACATCACACACAGAGATGGAGCACGGAGACCGTGAGAGGGAGACAGAGATGGGAGACACAGAGAGAAAAGAAATCAAAAAGGAGATTGATAAGGCCAAAACTGAGCCAGAGAGATTGTGGGGTGGGGACCCCTTGTGGAGAAGCCTGAGGGTTTTGCCAAATAAGAGAGTGACTGGGGACTAGGGTAAGGTTTGAGGATTTAGAAGCTGACTAGGTGGGGTGGACAGTGGGAGAATCAGTGTGGAATTCATTTTGTCCAGGCTCTGAATTGGGGGCAGCTGGAGGGCGGAAAGTGAGCTGTGGATTTTTCTCGAATCCAGCTCTCTCTCGTCAAGCCCGGAACTTACCCCTTTATCATTAAGAGGAGAAGACAGCAGACAAAACAAACTGACCCACAGCCCCGAGGCTGCTCAAGAAAAGCACTCAAAGTTTAGTCCTCTTGGAAGTGGCTGAGTTTCAGAAGCACGCTTTGATGTGCTGGTCCACATTCAGCACAATTCCGGTTTGTGTCTTTGCGCTTTTTACGGTTTTGTGTGTGTGCGCGTGTGTGTATAGGGTTGCTTTTTCTTGAGGGATGAATGGAGCAGGTGCTATTGGTTTTACCTCTCTGAAAACTTTGGGCTTTCAAAAGGCCCGTGGAAGGTTGTTAGCAGCCAGGAGCGCTCGTGGAAATGGGGGAAGCAGTCCCTGGTGAATACACTTCAAGGGACAGGATTTCACATGGCAGGAATGCCTTCTGATAATGATGGAAGAATCGATCCCGTGGCTGTAATGAGCTGCAGAGGGGACCCTTTTCAGAGGCCACCTCCTTCTGGGGACCCATGCTGAGCAGTTTTGAAAGACCACTCGTAATTACCTATCTGCACGTGGTGCAGAGTTCCAGCCTGCCCTGTGTCCCCAGGGCTCAGCCTGGAGATGGTTGCACACCCTGTGGGGGATGGGGGACCTGTTGTCCTGGTGATGGATGATAGTGGCCAGAGGCCCTGGGGATGTGGGGCTGCCCTTCCTGGTGAAGATCGGGCTGATTTCGGGAGGGAAGGATGGATATAGTCCTCAATGATAACAATGACCCACATTCCTGCAGGGGCCAGCTGCTGGTTCTCAATTCTACTCATTTTCTGGAGATAGGAAGTCTGCTTACTGGGGGGTGGGAAGGGGGTGCTCCATTCTCCAGGGCATGCTAAGTTCCCAGTCCAACTCCACCCACCCCCAGCAGCTCTGTTCACTCACCCCGGATTCCCAATTCTGCCCATGGACTGATGGCAAGGGGCCGTGGGTGGGTGTTGCTCAGCCATAGCTTAGGGCCAGCACCCTTGTCCAGTCCAGGGAGATGGCAGCGAGCTTGCACAAGTCCTTCAAGAGAACCTGGCAGCTCTCTGGATCAGAAAGCCTGAAGCAACTTCCTGTAATTCCCACCCCCTGGTCCAGATTCTGCCACCAGGAGCAACACAGATATAGGCTTCTCCTCATGTGGTGCATCCTTCTAAACATTAGCTCCTGCATGCCAGTGCCCTGCGAGCTGGATGGGGCCAGCATTCCGTTATGGATGTGGTAGCGAGGGGCTGGCCAGTATGGGCCTGCTAGGTGTACCCCGTTCCCCATGGCTTCCGTCAGGGGAAGCTGGAATTGGTCACCAGGAAGTTCTCACATGAGAGAGGGCAGAGCACATGGGGCCCCTGTTGCCAAACAGAGTTTGGTCATTTCTACTGTTGGGCCAGCTGCAAGGGCTGAGCCGAAAGAGAGCGAATCCAGCAGCCCTGAGCCGTATCCACCCTCCCTCCCTAGCCCGCACTGAGGCTGCGGCCAGTACTAGCTCTCTGGGTTGCCCTTTCCTTGGTAACAGCTCATGTTCATTGTCAGCTTTCTGTCATACAGGTGTGCCATAGAAAAACAGCACAACTTAGGGGTGGAAAGATTAAGGAGGAAAAAGGAAGGAGCCTTTGGATTCAGACCACGGGTTAACATTAATATCTACTTGAAATGGCAACATCTGAGCGTGGGTGAGTGTGTCCAAGGCTCGGAGGCACGTGATTTAAAATGAAATAAACATTAATCGAGCATTCAAGCAGTTGGCATTCTTGGTTGAATCATCACACGGCCCTTGGAGGAATCTACACACCCCCTGTCGGGGCAGGTGAAGGAGAGGAGGCCCAGGAAGGCTCTGGGACGCCCTCAGCTGGGAGGTGGTGCAGCCCAGACCCGAACTGCATTTTCCTTCCTCGCAGCCCCTGCCCCTCACTGGTTGCTACGAGCTGCTTGGCCTTTTGACAGCGATGTGGGTTTGTTCCCTCTCCATGTGAGGGATAAACGGAAAAGTGTCAGTTCTTTGGAAACGGACCTTCTGCATTTTTTGCCTGCCAGGGCTCACGAGTCAGGGACACAGGAGACTGGCTGTTGGCTCACTGACCACAGAATCTCAAATCCTCTTGGTTTGGAAGAGCTGCTGTGGATTCCAGCACCTGAACCCTCTCCGTAAACGTGTTGCATCTGGACACACGGGGCGGGAGAGGGGTGCCCAATGAAGAATGCCAGCCAAGAAAGCCCTGGCTGCAGCCTTGTGGTCAGCAGGTCTGTTCATCCCGGGTTGGGGTGAGGGGGCATCTCCACTTAGGGGGTCTGCTTGCCTGCCCTGCACATAGCGCCCATGTTCAGGCAGCCAGAATGTACTCAGACATCTGTGACTTAAGGACCTCTGGTTTCTTGCCCCCTCCTCCCCCATTCTCAGGCTTCCCTAGTTTACAGGAGGAGCAGCTCCTGAGAGCTCTCCCTCTGTTGACGGTGGCTGGGCCCCAGCCACCCCGCTGTAGCCGTGATGTTCACGGATTCATACAAGGATCTTGCGCGGAGCTGTACGCCAGCAGCCTGCTCGGGGCGCACGCAAAGGAAGTTCATCCTCCATCTCCCCCCTCCCTGCCTGCCAAATGCAGGCACTGGCAGATCCGCACCCAAACTGACGCTCTTTTAAAGGCAAGAGGCACCTCCAGCGTCAGATGAGCACTTTTTGCTGACAGTTGGGCCTTTCCAATTCGATCCCTCACATCTCATCACCTAAAACCTACATCTTAAAACTCCTGCAAACCACATTTCATTTATAGACGTCCTTTGCTTGCATGTGTTAATCACAGCGTCTGTGTGCGCCGTCTACACACGGGAGCTATACATGCAGAGGAGTGTTAATAGCTCCTTAAAAATAAATAACTGAGCTTTAAGGGAGCGAGGGTACCTGACGGGCCAAACGTGGCTGAGGATTTCACCTGCCACTCCATCTCGTCCTTCTTGATCTCAAACACCACGTTGGCATCCTGGAAGAACTGGTCCATGAGGGCCTCAAGGCGGTCCAGGTCTCCCGTGACCAGGGCAGTGTGGTACTCGAGCACCGGGGACCCGGCACCAGCCTGAGGCTCTGTGTCCATCTTCTGAAAGATCTGAAGCTTTCCTCTCACTGGCTCTGGCTGTCTCTCCATTGCAGTGCTGTCGATTTCAGAAGAGTTCTTCAGGAAGGAGAAAGATGGTCTTATGGAGCGAGAGCTATTTCTATTGTCATTACTCAATTGTCATCCAGTTGGGGCTCGGTGGTGGTGTATTTATAACTCCTGTGGGCTCCGATGTGATAATGGTTACTTGATATGACCAGTGTCATGTGACCACCGAGACAGCAAAGTGCTCAGCCACCCCCTGTGATTGTATAGACGCTAACTCCAGAGACAGACACATCTGTGTATCTCCAGAACAGCACTCCACACGATGAGGGCAGACACTCTTGAGTAGGCGGGGCTTCTCTTTCCTGCTCTGCAGGGTGTCTTGTTTTTGGCCCATCGCTTTCTTTGCTCCTGTGACCAGTGGTGGTGGATGTGTGTCCTGAGGGCTGTGTCAGCCCTGAGGATGCGTGGGGGAGACCCAGCTGGATGCTGCAAACAACCCGGCTGTGCATGAGTGTCCCTGGATGGGAGGCTCCATGGGGCAGACCAGGGATTCCCAAAGGCATCATCCAGGGCCCCTGGTGGCCTGTGAGTTTCTTCCAGTGGAGAACTGATCCCAAAATGTGCGTCCCTTGCTGAAGGTGAGATGCCACATTATTTTTTTAATGAATGGTAACAGCTCTTCATTAGTAACTTATTAGTTACTTGCTACAGTTTAGTTCAGGGCTTTACTTTATTGTCTAAAATTAACAAGGTCATTTTTTCTTATAACATAGATAATACAAAATTCTCAGATCTTTTTTCCAATTCTTGTTTTTCTCCTACTAGAAAGTTGGAATGGGCCAATGTAGTTGGGCTACAATAAAAAAACATGACCAGAGGCTAGCGGGAGGAAGGAGGGTCAGGAGGGCACTGCCTGGACGGGCCGAGGGGAAGCAGCGGAGCACATGCCCAGGGAAGTTAACACAGAGACTCCTGAGGGAGGTGCGAATAACAGTAGCCACCACCAATGCGGTGCCAGCATTAGCCCTGGAGACCGGCGGGATTCTGTTGCTACGTGGTGTTGCAATCAAACAAACAGCATAGAGACAACAGGAAAAGAGATTTGAAGTCAAGGAATAGGTTCATGGGACAGCACCCTCCTATTCAGAGCTGAACTTCTTAAGCACCATCTTTTCCCATGTCCCCCTCTCAATCTCCATGGCACCCCAAAGCTGCCCTGTGGCTTGCCCCTCCACTCTCTAAGCTCTCCCGAGGCCTGAGCAGGCTCTCTTGTTGGCCCTTTAGTTTGAAGGGTAACCTTGGCCCCTGGGGGGTCCCTTTCACCGAGATTTTCCACAACAAAGGGGACCCAGCAGAGTACCCTTGATCTTCTTTAGAAGGGATGCAGGGGAAGCAACCTACATGCCCATCAACAGATGAATGGATAAAGAAGATGTGGTATGTATAGACAATGGAATACTACTCAGCCGTAAAAAAGATGAAATCTTACCATTTTAGACATGGATGGACCTCGAGGACATTATGCTGAGGGAAATAAATCGGATGGAGAAAGAAAATACTGTATGATCTCACTCATATGTGGAAGATACACAAACAAACACATAGATGTGGAGAACAGATTGGTGGTTACCAGAGGGGAAGATGGGGGGGGAAGGGCAAGAGGGGTAAAGGGGCACATGTGCACAATGACGGACAGAAACTAGACTTTTGCTGGTGAACACAATGCAGTCTATACAGAAGTCAAAATATAATGATGTATGCCAGAAATTTACACAATGTTATAAACCAATGTGACCTCAATAAAAAAACCAACCAAAGGAAAACAAAAAAACAGAGGAGGTAAACAGTGAAGGGGAAATTGAATGCATTTATAATTTAATAAAGTTGTGTTTTTACCTTGGTTATAGACCTGATTTGCAGGCATAAATGTACATGTACGGATGTACACATACATTGGTAAAACCTACATCTCCTCTACAGAAGCGGGCTGCAGGGGTGCTGGGGTGGGAGAGGTGTGGCTGTCTGTCTGGCCATCTGTGATGCCTTCATGCAGACAGATAAGCAGCATAGAATGTGCCTCAAAAGCTAAAGGCCTCACATTGGTGACAGTGCGGGGGTGGTGGGTGGCTTGGTCACTACCTGAGCTGGTTGCCACAGGGACATGGGTTTGTCTTCACTGCAGTTGTCTGACACCTGGACTGAGGCTCAGTACAGAGGATGCAGAAGGGCCCACGGGGTTTAGCTGTGGGGGCTCAGGGCGAGCTGCAGGAGGAGGCTGCTGCCACCCCAGCATTTCCTGCAAGTGGTCCTCTCCGGGGGGTCCTGCACGTGGGTACCCTTGATGCCATTTGCAGAAGAGGAAACTGGGATGCAGAGATTCGGATAACTTCCTCAATCCTGAGGTGGTCAATGCCCAAACCCCTCACTGTGAGTACAAGGGCTTCCTACCTCGTCCCTCACTGCTGTCTTTGAGCATGACACACTTCAGCACAGGGATCTGCAGTCCCCTGATGGCACCTTGGTGTCTCAGGACGCCAGGTGTCTGCACATGCTGTCCCCTCTGCCTGGCATTCTTATTATCCCCTCGTCACCTGGCCGGCCTCACTCATTCATCAACACTCAGTTCAGCCTCCCTTCATGTCTGTGGCTGGGCTGCCGTATGCCCTCATACCCTGTCTGTGGTCTGCAGCACACTGCTGGTTACTGCTGGTTACTCGTCTGTGTCCCAACTTGACCACGAGCTTCTCCTTCTTCGTCTCTGTGGGGTTCTTAGCACCTAGCACAGTATTTCACACACAACAAGTCCTCAATGCAAATGGTTGAAAGGATGAATGGATCGGTGTCTTTGAAATCTGCTTGACTACATTTCAATTCCTCAGTGGTTCTTCCTCTCATTCTTGGCCATCTGCTAGCTTATTCCCTTAGGGAAGAACACTGTGGTAACCTGGAGTCTTGGCTGCCCAAGAGCAGGGACTCAGACGCTGGGAGTGGAGTTCCACCTCAGATCTGTGGGCTTCCCTGCACAGCTCACCTTTTCCCACCTGTAAAGGTGCCTTACCAAGTTTCTTAAGAAGACCTTGTCTATTGTATGCTCCGTGAGGGCCCTTTAAAACCTCTATCCAGAGGTTTCAAAGTTGATCTCCTTTGTCTCCCTCAGTAGCAGCAAAGACAACATCAGTGTCATCAATGGAACAGCAGAGATTTTTTTCTAGGGCGCACTGTGTGCCTGAAACACTCCTGGGTGCTGTGAAGAATGCAGTCGTAAGGAATATACAGACATATTTGCAAAGAACGTACAGCCTTCATTGGACATAAGAGGCATATGCATGCAGAAAATGACGAACAGAATGCTATGGGGACCATTTCCCTCATCAGATGTACAGGAAAATCAAGTTGCCTGCTCCTCTCCCTTCATTTGCTTATTCTGCAGTTGCTCTGTTCATTTCAGCAGCAATGTTAATTCTTCAGATATTTCATTTCTCTAGTCACAGTCATTTGCCATGTTATTTTTCTGACTGTTTATAATTAGATACATTTCTGAAGGACTTATTCATCGCAACTATGATATGATCCAACTTGATCTTGTACTTCACTTTAAACTGGAGAGTTCTTTTGTACCTAATATATTTTGTCATGAGTTATTATTATTTTTAAATTATTTTATTGAGGTCATATTGGCTTATAACATTGTGTAAATTTCAGATGTACATTATTATTTATCAGTTTCTGTACAGACTGAGTTGTGTTCACCACCTATAGTCTCGTTTTTATCTGTCACCATACATATGTGCCCCCTTACTCCTTTCACCCACTCCCCTAGCCCCTTCCCCTCTGGTAACCACTAATCTGTTCTCTTTATCCATGTGTTTGTTTATCTTCCACATATGAGTCAAATCATACACTGTTTGTCTTTCTCCATCTGACTTATTTGGCTTAACGTAATACCCTTAAGGTCCATCCATGTTGTTGCAAATGGCACGATTTTGTCTTTTTTTATGTCTGAGTAGTATTCCATTGTATATATATACCACATCTTCTCTATCCGTTCATCTGTTGATGGGCACTTGGGTTGCTTCGTGAATAATACTGCCGTGAACATAAGGGTGCATAAATCTCTTTGTATTGTTTATTTCATGTTCTTTGAATAAATATTGTCATGGGTTATTTTTAAAAGGGGTCGGATCCTGGAAGTATGTCCAGGAATAGCAGCCATTCTACCCTGTGTCCTGTGCTAAATTTAGCTTTCTAAGCGTTATATTTGTCAACAGTGCCATAAATATCCAAGCTTGATTCCAGTGGGTGGGGAGTAGTAATCCAGAAGCAGACTCAGTCCTTTGTGAGAGCTTTAAAAATAGTTCATGGTCGACAGCATTGGTTCACAAGTAGGACGTGCAGATTACCTCAGGAGCTTGGCAGAGGTGTCTTTTTTTTTTTTTTCCAAAGAACAAGAATAGCTGTATGTGTGACTATTACATTAACAAACAAAACAAAACAAAACCCACCACAAACATCTGTAAGCTTATCCATTGATTCATCTATTCATTCGGTAAGCATTTATGGAATATTATGTTCTAGGATATGTTGTTAGGTTTTGGAGATTCAGAGACCAAAAAACAAAACAAAACAAAACAAAAAAACCCACAATAATCCTGCCCTCAAGCATCACACAGGAGAAAGCAGTGACCAGAGGTCCCCAACACACAGGCGTTCTTTAGTCTTCCTTCCCACCAGCTGAACTATGTCCTGTAGTTATGAATGAATAACACTGTTTCCTGACCCAGCACTCTTGGTTAGGCTCCTTCTTGCCTGCTGCACACCAATTTACCCATCGATACCTTGCTTGGGTCAAGCCATTTTTATCTCATTTTTATCATCCTCACCCTTCTCAGATTAGTCAAAGCCAATGCGTAGGCTTCAAGAT